ACCTACACGTACCTCGATGTATGGCTCCATCCACCAGCGCTGAATGGGATCGCCAGACAGTGGCCCTGGATTTATGGCTGGACACTCAAGTGACAGATCCGGCCATCAAACATGCCCTCCTCTCCCTTCTTAAAGGGGTTTGCGATCCATCCCTCCCGTCCATTCGAATGGTACCAGGTCGACTGCGCAGCGCCTTCCGCTCCCAGCAATGCATTGGCTCCCAAGGGCTATTGGAAGGAAGATTGTCCCGCCAATGGGCCCCATTGCAGGAGGAATATCTGCAGTCGCGCGGGAGCCAACGCTCTCCGACCTTATGGGCCTCACGCCTCTCGCATCAGTTGATTTTGCTGGGCTTCCAGCTGTGGGAACATCGGAACTCGGTACAACACTCGGAGGACAATGTACAGTTACACGAGCGCAGCCAACAGGTCAACGACGGGATACACAACCAGTTTGATATGGGTCTCACTGACCTACGTAAGGTTGTCCAACGCATGCTTTCGGTCAAGCGCCGGACAGTCTTGAACAAACCACTGGTAGACCGTGAGGAGTGGCTGAAGCTGGTGAGGATGGAACGCACGGCCTACCGCCGCGCTTTGGCGCCTCAACGCCGTATTCTTCATCGCTTCTTCCACCCTGCGGACCATTCCCCTTGAACAACGTTTTGTGGAAGCAACGCCCCGAAATCACCCCGCCATGCTGCGGGTAGAGTCCAAACCATCTGGTTCTGACTAGAGCAACTTCTGATTATCAGACGCCTCACATGGTTCAAACTTGTTGTTGACTCGCCGCTCCACAGTACTTGACCTTTACAGCCGACCATTCCACCGGCAATCGTATGCGCTACCTAGCATTTAATCGATTAATGTTTCAGTTATTATTATTATTATTGAAATCTAGGGTCATTCCCAAATATTCGTGAATTTTTCCTCGCTTAGATTTGACTGGTTTGATTGAACCATATTTTTGATTCATCCATTCACAAAAATCATCATTCACTTTCGGATCGATGTGGCTTGATAACAGATCGTCCACATGAAATCAAATAGTTTGTTGTTTGCCATTCACAATTTTGTTGGCAATGCATCCATCATATGGATTGAAAATAAAACCATGTTTCTCCATGTCTCCTCTCAACTTTTTGTACCAGAGCATAGAGGCCTCTAACATCCCATAGATGGCTCGCAATACTCTCACATAAATCACTTGTTTTCTGTTCTCAATTACAACGTAATCACAATATCTTGGCTCCAGTCGTATCATCATGTTGACCAATAATCCAGTGATCTTCATTATCACTCTTGATTTTGTATCCATTGGCATTTGAGTTTGAATAAATGCATTTGGAATGTCCAAAGACATCATATCTCATCCTTCATACGCATCAATCACACATGTGATCATAATTGCTTCCAATGCTGCAGTTAGACTTGAAGTATCCTCTCGAGATAACCATTCTTGAGTTCCATCTCCTTTATAGACACATCTTCCCTTTATTTCACCAGTGTTTTTCTCAGCTAATAACATCATAGCATCTTGGGCTCTTCTTTTTTTCCAAATCAGTCATGTCTTCAACATGAATTGGTTCCCAACATTCTCTTTGTATCAATTGGTCAAGCTCTTTCATCACAGCCTTATTACCTTCTTCTTTGAATATTTTCAGTCCCTTATTTAGGTAGTATTGTTGTATAAACGATACTCCTTCATTTTTGACTTTATCCCTGATTTGTTGCATGAATCGTGCAATCAGAGTTGCCTTATCCCTTCCATATTCGACTTTCTTGTCACTTCCAACCTGTTGGAATAGTAGATTGTATTTTGACTCTCTTTTTGGAATCCTTTTCCTTGAATTTTCCTTCATTGAAATTATTTCATTCAAATAACCTTTCAATTTCTTGACTTTTTCCTTTTTTCTCATCGCACTCCTGTTCTTTAACAAATTGCACTTCGGTTTCTTTTGATTTAGGTATTGTTGATTATACCTTGATCAATCGCGATTATTTTGTTTGGTTGGTCTCATTTTTATTCCATCTTGAACATAAGATTTACCACTCCTGGTTTTCCTTGGACTGAAAATGTCCTGTTTATTCACCTCATCATTTTCATAATTATCATCGTCACTTGATTCGTCCGAATTATCGTCAGATTCATCATTTTCATTTTCATTATCATCCAAATTTGCCACAAATTTGCGAACATCATTGACTTGATTTTCACATTCTTTGATTTCATCCTGAATTCGATCAATTAAATCGTAATTTTCCTCATATGTTTCGCGTGTTTCTTCAATTTGCTCTTCATTGTTAAGTGATTCAACATCTTTGTCTTTTTGAATGCCTTCCTCAATTTCTTGAATCTTTTCATTTAAATCCTCATCATTCTGATATTTGTCATTTGGATTGGGATCTTGATCGGAATTTTCATCATCATTTCTCCGTCTCAATCGTTCATAAATACTTGCCACACTCCTGTCTTCTGCCTGTTCTTTGGCATTTTTGGTGTGCGCATCATCATAGTTTTCAATAAATTCTTCCGCTTCTTCAAGTAAAGCATCAATTTCATCTTGATCAATCTTTTCATTACAAAGATTCTCATCGCTTCGTTTGTATTCATTTTTGTGTGGAATATATGTATCATCCCACAGTTCATCTGGGTCCACTCCTGCGAGCAAATCACCATCCAATATGATTTCACCATTCTTCCAATGATAAGTACGCAAATCACGAACGCCTTCGTTGTGTGCCATTTGTTCCACAATTTTGATCACTTGTTTGGTGATCGGAAGTACCGTTAAATAGGGTCTTGTTACTGTCTTTTTTGTATTCAGATCAAGTAACACATATCCAGCTTGAATGCTATCATTTACTCCAAGATAAATACCATCAATCGTTCTTGATCGTTGCCTGTTGTTGGTTGTGTGACCATATCCTTGTACAAAGGATCCAATTTCAGCAACATATTCTTTTGAAAAATCCACTGGTTTTCGTCTCACAATCATATGTGGACTGTAATATTTCGAAATTCCCTCCTTTGCAGGATAAAAGTTGATAGCCTTTGTCGCATGCTTGAGTAAAGCAATAGTCAAAACCTTAGGAATTGCCTTGAACACCATTCGATGATAGTGTGCTCCAAATAATCCTTTCAATGTTTGATTGCTGCGCTCAATAGTTGGTTCGTGTTCGCCCGGCGCGGCATAATTCATGGTCACATCCATATATCTTTCACGTCATCAAATACCGGTTTGAATTCGTTGTCGCAATAAATAGTTTTGATTCAAAGTTCGGCATGATTATAAATGAGTAAAATTTTGTCAATCGACTTGTAAATAGCATCTTTCGTCCGATCTTTCAGTTCAGTAGAGAATCGGAATTTGATCGCCTTGTCAATACTGACAAAAAACGCAACATTGTTGATAAACATAATGTGGATGCATAAATCCAGGTTCGAATTGTGTTTCAGGAGTTCTTTGGGCATTTTGATCCAATCATCAACCACCACCTTCGGTGTTGTTCGCTTTTGTTTGCCCTTAATTGTTGAAACGCTCGGTCCATATATCTTTTCAGAGATATTAACATCTTCCTCCGTAATTGGACAATTTTTGAAAAAATTTCCCCGAATCGCCAACTTGAATAGTTCTGCACCAGGTGCTCCCATCATATGATAGCCACTTTGTGCAACATTCGCTCGTTTCACTTGTTTCTTTGTGAAACCTTCTTTGTTCTTCTCCACACTCAGTACCCTTCCATATCATCATTTAAATTATTAGGTACTATGTGAATTTCATCTAGTTCCATTCCAGCAGGAACTTCATCATATATATAAATCCTCTTCCATCCGTCCATTCATGAAAATCTTTTCGAATACCTCGTCGTTTTGCTTCTTGAACAAATGTACCGGGTAATCCACCGAGGCGAATTTCTAAATCATCAAAATCCCATCTTCGGTCTTTAGCCAATTCATAACACCATTGAATAAACTTCGTCCATTTCCATAAACCGTGATATGCATCCATCGCTTCACCCATATTAATCCTATCACATTGTAGGATGAATGCCATTCCTTTGTGACTTTCGATTTCAATATCAAAACGTGGGTCTACTCCAGCATTGTCAAGTCCACGTGCATGATTATGGAACATTGCTGTTGCCACAGCAGGTTTGTCAACCAAAGTATACAATCCATTGAGATGTCCAAATCGCCATGTAGTCCCGTTTCTGGTCACAAAGAAGCTGTTCTCTCTCTTTGTGTCCATAAATACATCAAATCCATCTTTTACCATGTTCGACAAACTGTTGATGTTGTCGCTAGCTCGTGTATCAAGTTTACAAACAGAATCAAATACCTTATCGATTCCTTCTCGATAAAGTCTTCTTCCCTCTATATTAGAGGTATAATGAAATCCTCCATCAATTCCTTGTAGAGTTCCTTCTTTAAAGTCATCTTCATTGGTTCGCAAATGAAAAGTAGATCCACTATCCAAGTGGATACCAGTATTGTTGAGTTCTTGGAACAACATCATCCCTTGTTGTCTTGGATGATTGTCAGTATGTCCTCGTTGAATAAATTGTCCTCCATGGGATCCATTGTTGAAACGTCCATAGTTCCATTGAGTATTTGAATCTCTCGATTCATCATCATCACGCGTTGCATTTTCATCACGTTGCATATTTTGTCGATTACCACGACCATTCTTGTTCGAATAATCCCTATATTTGTCCGGGTTTTTCCATTGTTCCCGCGGCTTCAATTTGTCCGCACATTGAGGTGCGACATGATCTTTTGATCCGCATACAAAACACGCTCGAGTTTGTTGTTGCGAAAACTGAGCTCCGTCATTTTGATTGTTGTTTGACTTGTTTTGTTTGCCTTGTCCATTCAAATTTCCTCCATTCGAATTCTTCTTCCTGTTATTGTGTTTGTGTTGATTCAAAACATCAGCAGCATTTTCCAAAGTAGTTGGAAATGTACAACGTTGTTTGAAATCCAGATGCTTCAACGTGTACTGCGCCGTCATTCCATCAATTCTTGATTGATACTTGGCTCTATCGGAATTATACAGAAATCCGTTGGCCATGAATCTTTCCCATGATTCCTTCTTATGTTGCGATGGTTCAGCATCGCTTCCCAATAAGTAATATTCCTGACTCTTCTCAGTAAACTTGTCCAAAAAATCATCACCGAGCAAAGCTTGCAATGCCTTTGCCCTTTCTTCAAATCGTTTACAAAAACTCGCAATGTTTTCCTTCTCCTTTCGATGGCAATTAATCAGATTGCTCATGGTCTTCTATAGACCAAAATATTCCCATTCTGTATCGACAGTAGTCGTCATAAATTTCTTGATCCGCATCAATAACTCCACAGGATCTTTGAATAATTTGTTCTCAAAGTCAGCTTCTCGCTCAAGTTTGTCCACCATATGATTGGTGCACATTTTCATAATCATTCCATAGACATTGCTTTTATTGTTATCAAACGCGTCCTTCCTGGCCTTCCAATCCTTTCGACCAGCCAAATAATTAGTTCTTTTTTCTTCATTATTTATCTCCTTATCAGGATCGCTGTCATTAGTTACCAATACCAATGCTGGCTTCACACTTTGAATATCAAACAAATTCATGGTTCGTACACTCTGAATCATGTCATCAATATGATCCATCTTTATCGTTGACATTTTGATCACCAATGTCTTCTTTACTTCATCAAAGCTAAATTCAGGAATGTTTCCTCTTGTCAGAGGATGAAACTTCTTCTCTTTTTGGCTACCATTGCAACTCTTATTTCCATTGTATTGACCATTACTTCGGCCTTGCTGCGAACTGTTTCGTCCAGCATTTCTTCCATTGGAACCACGTCTAGAATTCTGAAATCTTCCACTCATCATGAGCAAGTTCTTATTATTTTAAGTCGTAGAAATGTATCGACCCCCAATTCAATTCAGTTCCTATTCTTTCAAGTCGTAGGATAGATCGACTCAGTGACTTTTTATAATATATGTTAGGAGTAAGCGATCCACTGCCGCCTGCAATCTACCTGTTCAATTGACTGCCATTTAGCTGTCCAGGTATTGTTGCCTTCTAAGTATGTGAATTTACAGTATATAGAAGTATATAGATCTATTAGAGATCCTACTTTATCAACCAATTCACTCGTTGCTTGCGATATATTATAAAAAGTAAGAACAATCTGTCAACTTTTGACTTTGACTCTTTCTTCTCCAGCTCAGTGGAAATTCTCAGAATTCTCTCTACGTCAGCCTGATATGCTGTAAGTTCAACGTGCTTATCCGTTCACCTTCCACTGTAGTTGGTACTTTGATTAGTATCCAACTTTGGTTCTTGCTTGAATCTTGATTTCTTACATCATCAACAAGATGATTTCCATAGAAATATATTCGGTCTTCTGACTCGCCACGCGCGATATTTTTAGTCGCATCAGTCTTCATTTTTAGTTGTATCAGTCGACTTCTTTTCTCTATCGTTCACATATATTCTCTTTTTCTCGTTTCTCCAAATATGTACTTCGAAAATCCTAATATATCCAACACTGAGTGCAGTTCGTGAATCTCTTGAGAGATTCCCATGAGTCCAAAGTGTTGCCACTTGGTCTCATCCGTGACAGTCATGAACGTCTTCATACGCTTCAACAACTTCACGTGATCTTCTTGGAGGTCTACCCAATCAGTTTCATTGCTCAATTTATCTCTCATCGCCGATGTGATGAAATGCTTGGTGATGATTGCAGCAACGGTATATTTGATGGCTTTCGAAGATCGTCCACTGTCTCCAACTGATGCCCAGTTTGACCTGGTATCGTCCATTCGGGAAGCGATCCTTCGGTCCTCGGTGGATTGGGCGCCCCAGCACGTGTATGGACACCTCGAC